CCAAATGTACTAGAATGTTTTGGTTCTATCTCTTACACTTTACTCAAAACTGAAATGCATAAAAAAAATGACAAAATGATACACTCTTTGCACACTGTCAAAGAACCATTGTACACAAAATCAACTTTGTGCAAAACCAAAACAAAAATAGTATCCCATCTGGTGGATGATGGCACAAGCTTCTAAGAAAATTCTATTACAACGAACCACATTTTTTCACTTCGTTTGTGCTATCGTGTCCCAAAGATGAGGGATTAAATGTCAATCCTACAAAAACAACTATTGTACCTTTTACTAAAAGACGTAAAGTCCATCTAGATCTTAAACTAGGAGACGTAAAGCTGTCACTATCTCTAGAAGTAAAGTTTTTAGGAGTAACTTTAGATAGTAAACTCTGCTGGAACAAACATATCGATCAACAAATAGGAAAAGCAACCAATGCATTTTGGACCTGCAAAAGAACGTTTGGAAAAAAATGGAGTCTGAAGTCAAATATGATACACTGGATATACTCGGCCATAATTAAACCCAGGATCTACGCCTCACTTATATGGTGACCGAAAACTAAGCAACAAACGGCACAAGTCAAACTAAACAAGCTACAAAGGCTTGCTACTATTTCCATAACTGGAGCAATGCGTAGTACTCCCTCTACAGCCTTAGATGCTTTACTCAATATCCTTCCTCTTCATCAATTTATTCAACTGGATGCAGTGAAAAGTGATCTAAGGCTCAAACGGTCCATGAATTTCTTCGATGGAGATCTTATTGGACATTTGAATGCTTTGAAATCAAAAAATTACACGTCAAAACTGGTGTGGGAATGTACTAAACTATTACAGCAACTGTCCTGTCGAAATACGGTTAACCTTTATTGGGTCCCTGGGCATTGTGGAATCGAAGGGAACGAAAAAGCGGATCAAATGGCAAAAATAGAGTCATCCGAAATTCATTGATCCTGAACCGTTTTTTGGACTTTCTTTTTGTGCTTTAAAAATGGAGCTAAAAACTGGAGAAAAAACATAGGTACTAGACTGATGCAAAATTTGAAATTTTCGCTCCACAGTGCTCAAACGGTTTCAAATCAGGTCCTGATTAGCCTCCCAAAATTTAAACTCATTTGGTAAGAAACTGACTTGGCACAAACTATTCGAAGTTTATATGGAAATTACTATGGAAAAACCAAACATTTTGTTCAATGTCTTTTACCCATTTTCCATATCGCTTTTTTGAAAATTTCTATCACTATTCTTACGGGAAATTTTCTAAGCTACAACTTTGCGCAATGTTGCTTTTCAGCCAAATGTCAAATTAAATTGTTATTAATTGTTTAAGAGGTTGATAATCTTATGGCATGATCAAGCAGCTGTTCTGTGGGCAACACTGTATTCTACAGTGTGACATAGTAGCCATGATATTTGTGCTCTATTCTTCGCATCAGAAACACCAATGTTGCCTGCTGAATAGTTTAATGAGCATAATCATAAGACATCAGTGACACGAATCATTAATAACTTTTGTTCCTTACATTTGATTGAAAAGTGATTTTCAACAAAGTTGTAGCTGAGAAAATTTTCTACAATCACTGCTATCATTTTTAAAAGCATAGTGATGTGGTGAATGGTTAGATAGATATGAACAAAAACATAAGTTTTCCTATAGTAATTCCCATATACACTTGAAATGGGTTGTGCCAAGTCAGTTTCTTACTAAAGTAGTTCAAATTTTTGAAGGCTATGCAGGACCCAATTTGGAACCGTTTAAGCTCTGAGGAGCGAAAATTTCAAATTTTGCATCAGTCTAATAGGTACAGTACAACTGGACCAGTACCTTAAATTCTCGGCAATCTAAACGTTTTATAAAGCCGAACACTTTGCATACACAAAATTTACTTAATCTTTCAAAAAGATTTGAGTACATACGCTGGTTTGATAACAGGACACTGTCCTTGTAAATATCACCTGAAACTCATTGGCAAACTTCATGAAGATAAATGTCGCTTTTGTAACTTAAAGAGTGAAAGCTCTGATGATTTTCTGTGTGACTGTGTTGCACTATTTCATAAACGATGCAGATATCTTGATAAGGGTCTGATGAGTCCTTGGGAAATCTGGGCTGCTGCTCCCAATCAGGTAATAAATTTCATAAGGAATGTATTACCTGTTTGGGATAATTGCTTACAACCCTAATAAACAAATACCATAAACGAACTGTACCCCGTATGGGTAAACTATCTCACAAATGGTTTAGATGATACCCCGAACACGTCGTTAAGCTCTCTTTTATGGTTATTTTTATTAGGGAACAGTAGTGGAAGTTACTCAAACAATAGTGGCTTACCCAGAGTTGCGACCTATCACAATCACGATCGCCAAACAGCTGATGCTAGTAACGCTTTGTACATTCCTATCAATGTGCTCGTCGAAGCTTTCTCCATGACCATCCATCAAGTTGACGAAAGAAGTAAAAAGCAACTGGTGAATGTCGTCTTCTCAACGGCGCCGGTGGTGTAGTGTAGTGGTAAGCGTGATTACCTCCCACCCCAGCAGGCCTGGGTTCAATCCCAGTCGGCGCCGCCGGGATGTTCTGAGGCATAACATCTCTGATCACGCCTTCCTTCGGATGGGAAGTAAAGCCGTTGGTCCCCGGTTCATGAGTTGATGGGTCGATAGGTAGGGTCTAGGTGTGGGAGCTGCCTTCCTGGCACGTCGGTAGCATTGGTGCTCAGCACGGAAAACAAGATCGACGGAAAAAACAAACCAAAGGAAAAAAAAAAAACCATACGAAACCATACGAATGTCGTCTTCTGTTGTGATCCATCACCGATCTGGTCATTCCCGACAATAACGACACTCATCTGTGCACGTTTTGAAGCAGTTGCTGCTTTGCTTGCTTATATGAGTGTGTTGGTGAGTGAGCCCAACAGCTTCCGTTTCATGTTGCCTGCTTTGTTTGTAACTCACACAGTCGCGCCTGCCGAGACAAACTTGGAATGCGTAGGCATTGTTTTCATTTTCTTCTGTCGTTTCGCTTTTTCTCATGATCGTACTGCAGAAGTCTTCACTGTTTTCGTTGTGCTTTTCATCATCAGCAGCGAGTGTAACGTTTTGCTTGTGAGCAGCGACAATTACTGGTGATTGTTGTTTGCCATGGCTCTAACTCTCACTGCGTGACAAAACGATCTGTCAGCGATAGTCGGTTGATGCGAAGACGAGTGTCACGTGAGTGTCATGATATTTTGCATCACTGGGCTTACCACTACGTTATGGCATAAACAAAAAGAGGATACACCACAATAGATCAAAGTAATGGTATTATGTCCCCAATATTGAAAAAAAAAACACATTTACATAAAATTTTACATAATTGTGTTATGGGCAACCATTCACATTTAAAAAAAAATCAAAATGGCGTGTTTGAAATTTTTCAGCAATTTGTAACACGAAAAAATCACTTCTGATCAAAATGACGGCTGGGACAAAGTTGCAGAGAAAAATAAAGTCCTTCTGTAGTATAAACAGAAATATCTCAAAAAGTCTATCTTAAATAAAGCTTGTAAAAAATGCTTTCTTTTGGAATATTTAAAACCATAGGCACATGAACGTTGCCGAAAACCGTAGAGCAAAAATTTTTGGTCAAATATTTTTTGCTACGCTTTGACATATTTTTTTATGTTATTTCTACACAGAAAATAATATTTGAGACATTCTAAACCGTTATCTGTGCAAACATCACATACAAAAAACTTGTTAACTAGTTTAAAAATATGACGATAAGGTAATGTTCTACGATTTTTGTCAATATTCAAGTGTCCATGGATTCAAATACAAGGTTTGCATTTTTCATGAGCTTTAAAAAAAATATTATAACTCATGAAGATAAACTTTTTGAGAAATTTCCGTTATGAGTTTTTACTCAAAATTACACGGCGAATGAGAACGACCCAAATTTGAGTTTAGTTCACTCATAATCGCCAAAAGTGCAGGAACGCAGCGATGAGTTAAATTTGTCTCATGGTTTCCTGTGGAAAACCTAAAAAATCTGCCGGAAAATGAGGAAATTGACGAAAATTTTATTCAGTCTCGGAGTAGTACCAATAGACTGAGTGAATCCAATCTTTATTTTTCTCAAATTCGGGATTTTTTCCCTGGAAAAACCTGGGAAAACATGAGGAAAATTTACTCATCGCTGAGTTCCTGCACTTTTGGCGATTATGAGTGAACTAAACTCAAATTTGAGTCGTTCTCATTCGCCGTGTACTGAAAAAATACTTTATTTTTCGTCCCAGAATTATTTTACTTTTCATAAAAACTTTGTTTGAGACGTCATTTCGATCAGAAGTGACGTTTTAGTACTACAATTTATTGAAAATGTCAAAGACGCCATTTGGAAAAAAAATCAAGGTGCAAAATGGCCGATTTTTTGCAAAAATGTGAATAATTGCCCTACACAGATATAAATTCTGAATTTTAATAGTGATGTAAACATTCATTAACGTAAACTTGTATTTCATTTCACGCAACCAAGCAACTTGTAAACAATGTTGTTTACAACAATGGGCTTTTGTATACAATATTTGCTACATTGCATGAAATGTCTCAGAACTTTACATGATATATAATATGTAACGCTCCATTTATGTGCATCATACCGAACAGAAATTTACACTACTTTTTCGAACTGTGTAGCACATAATTATGCAAATCGGAGAAGGTAGGGTCTTAAACTATTTTTTTGGCCTTTTTGGCCTGAAACTGGTCAAATACCATTATAACATATAATGATTTCATAATTAAAAAAAAAAACATTAAAGGAAAATGAATGGAAGCACCCCTGGTTACAATGCTAAGGGGTACGTAGTAGTTAGGAACCACTGATTTAGAACAACGGGTTCTAAATCTTTCAACACTGTAACGCACTATTTAGAAGAGATCTGCCCACGTTACGGAATATGTTTTTCAGTCAACTATCCACATCTCAATATTCGATAAGTCAATGAACTCAAAGAATATTAAATGACCTACCGTTGCCCTCCAGACGTTGATAGGATAGACGCCACAGTGGGTATAAGTTCGCACCATTTTATTTTGTCACCTACAATAAAAGCGTACGGTTCCTGGATAGATCATATTCAGTTCACATTAGTGTTCAGGGAAAAACAGCTTGAAGCAAAGATAAATACCTAATAAGTGCATTTGTGTGATTACTGTGGACAGTCAAAATGGTGCATCCATTCAAGTGAGTATAAGTGATCTAAATGGTATGATTGCTGTTGACAATTGAGATAAATTGTTTTCCCTTTCCCTACTCAAACGTACAGTATTAATCAGTCTAGGCACCATATTCATACCTCAATTCTCCTGCAGCATGCCAACAACCCTTGAGGAATCCCCCAATGCCCAGATCAATAAGACCCTATTGGACAAGTATATGAGCCTGCCGATCCCGGAGGGCAAAATCCAGGCTACCTACATCTGGATTGACGGCACCGGCGAAAATCTCCGCTGCAAGGACCGAACGCTCGAATTCATTCCCGAAAAACCCAGCGGTGAGTCAACATTTAATGCAGGGTAAAATGGGGTAAGTTTCACGCCCGGGCCAAAATGACTTTTTGGCGTTTAAAATACGTTTTTGACCTCTTCTTCGAGGATCTTTTAAGAAACATTGCTAGTTCAATGTCAGAACTAGCAATGCTGCGTATTGAATGAAAATATATTGAAAATGTATTCAAAATTTGCAAAACGCCATATTGTCCCCGGGGTGCATCTTACCCCATCTTACCTTACCTAAATAACGATCTGGCAAACAAAACTAATGCCACCGTCTTGATCAAAGGCAAGTAGCAGGATAATATAAGGTACACCGAGGAAAGTTGAAATGGAAGGCGTATCTCTTTGCGAAAATTAATAATCACTGTGGTTATATCTAATTGGCGCTAATGCACAATGCCACTTAAAATTAATCACAATGAGTATAGATCCACTATCCCCACACGTTCCAACTTGCCCCGGTGCACCTTAGCTATGCGAGCAACAAGTGATCGGTTCAATTGTTCTGCAGTCTACTATATAATCAATCGTCCGTCTCTTTCAGACCTACCCATCTGGAACTACGATGGAAGCTCGTGCTACCAAGCCGAGGGACACAACTCGGATGTCTACCTACATCCGGTAGCGACCTTCAAGGACCCGTGTCGACGAGGTAACAACATTCTGGTTATGTGCGAAACCTACCGGTACGATGGGACGCCGACCGAGTCCAACAAACGTCATACGTGTCGTAAGGTTTGCGATCAAGTGGCCACCGAGCAGCCCTGGTTCGGAATCGAACAGGAGTACACACTGCTTGACATTGACGAGCGGCCCCTGGGATGGCCCAAAAATGGCTTCCCGGGACCACAAGGACCGTACTACTGCGGAGTAGGTGCGAACAAGGTGTATGCTCGCGCTATCGTTGATGCTCACTACCGGGCATGTCTGTATGCCGGTATCAAGATTAGTGGCACCAATGCCGAGGTCATGCCGGCCCAGTGGGAATACCAAGTAGGACCATGCGAGGGCATCTCGATGGGTGACGAGCTGTGGGTGTCACGCTTCCTGCTTCACCGGATCGCTGAGGAGTTTGGCGTAAGTCTCAATAGCTCAGCTTCTCAATTTTTTTGATTAACTTTGCAATCAACCGTAGATCATCGCCACGCTTGATCCGAAACCGATGGTTGGTGACTGGAACGGTGCCGGTGCGCATACCAACGTGTCAACTAAGGCCATGCGCGAGAATGGTGGAATTGTCGAAATCGAAAGGGCCATTGTCAAGCTGTCCAAATGCCATGAGCGCCATATCCGGGCTTATGATCCACGCGAGGGCAAGGACAACGAGCGTCGCCTGACGGGAAAGCACGAAACCAGCTCGATCCACGACTTTAATGCCGGTATGCTACAATTGTTGAATGTTGTTTTCTTTATATAGAGTTTTGAACGACTTTTTCTCCCCGGTCAACAGGAGTGGCCAACCGTGGAGCTTCGATTCGTATCCCACGTGGCGTAGCCGACGAAGGCAGAGGCTACTTCGAAGACCGACGACCAAGTTCCAACTGTGATCCGTACAGCGTTGTCGAAGCCATTCTCAGAACAATTTGCTTGGACGAATAATGGAACTATTTTGACGTTAACATTGGTAAATGTATTCATAAGGCTAACGTAAAGAAAATTGTCAAGTGTTATTAAATTAAAGGTTTATTATTATTTTTTATTAGTTTTAAAATGTGATTTTTTGTACTTTAGCATTACGAGAATATATGATTAAAATATTATTATACCAGCACTCCTTTACATGAGCACAATCCCTGATGTTTACATATACATATCTCATCGTCGAGTTTTCTTATCCTCTATTTAGATCCCGTTTCCACTTGTCTGACAGTTACATTTTTTCGACCCCATAATTTAGAATTTCACGATACATTCTGGCAGAATAAAGTGGAAGAATGAAATCGAAAAAGGTTTGTGAGAAAGATAATCTAGCTCAAGAAAGTGGAGTCCGAGGTAGTAATGATCTTATGTTGGGTGCACGAAAGCCAAAAAACTATTACATTGAATGTTAGTTGCCATTCCTATCATCATTGGTGTAGCTAATGGGGGTGTGGCCCTCTCTAGAATTATCTAGATTTTTTGACTCACCGGTATTTTGTCAAGCTTGTAAAGTTCGATGTTACTATTTATCAACGATCAACGTCTTCAGGCCATAAGCCCAGGAATTCTCCTTTAATTTCTGGGAACTTCGTAAAACTTCAAGGACTTTTAAGAAGTTCAGAGAACATCGTAAAAATTCTGGGAACTTCATAGATCTTCATAGAACAAGGAGCTTGGAAAAGTTCCGAAAACTGCGTAGAAGTGGAAAATTTATTGAAGTTTGAGGAGCTTCGTAGAAACTAAGGCAACCATATTTTATTTCAGGGAAGCTCATTATTGATCGGGAACCTCTATATAATTCCCCTTGTTCTGCGTCGCGAGTGAAGTGAGGTGACTCGCTGTCACTAGTGAGGTGACAAAATTTACTCTCCGTGTAAATCAAATGGAGAGTCACGTCACTCACAGTGACTACTGTCACCTCACTTGTGACAACGAGTCACATCGCCTCACTCGTGGCGCAAAATAGGCGTCAAGTTCAGGGCACATTTTTTAAGCCTCATGGAGAAATTTCATTCGTGGAACTTTGCAGAAAATCAACGAAAAACGTAGAAATGCAGCAAACTTTGTAGAAGTTTTGCAAATTTCGCAGCATTTTGAGGAGCTGTGTAAAACGTCATATAATTTTAAGAAATTTTGAAAAAGGACAGGGAATTTTGTTGAAGATCTAAAAATAGTTCAATAAACTTCTAAAAAATTCAAAGATCCTCGCCTCAGTTTAGGGAACTTCGTTGCAGTTTGTCTGAGATCTTCCTTCAAAACAGCTCCCTTGGAGGTTTTGGGAACTACGTTAAATTTCAATGAACTTTCTTTTTTTTCCAGCAGTGCAAAGATGTTCAAAGATCTTCGTAGAATTAAGAGAAATGGAAAAAAAGTATGGAGTAAATTCCGGGAACTTCGTAGAAGTTGAGGAAATTTTGTAAAACTTAAGAGAGTTTTGTAGATGTTCAGGAAACGTTGTATAAGTCACAGATATTCTTTAAGACTTCCTTCCTAGACAGCAGGAAATATTTTAAAAAAAATCTCCATATAGACGAAGATATTAGAAAAGTTCTCTGGATATTTTTACAAGACTTCAGGTAGATCAATTTCTGAGGATCTCCAAATGTTTAAAAATTCAAATATTCTTTCAAGACTGTAAGTTGTTCAGGAAGTATTCCAAAGTTTTCCAGCTAATTGAATCTGATGGAATCTTGAATATAGATTTTATGGATATGTTTGAACATTCTCATAGCAATACTGTCAAGAATTAGCACTCCAGCAGCTAGACACCGGTCATAAATCTCAGCGAAGAGAGAGAAATTACTACATATACCTAATTGTTCTGCATAAATTTCTTTCTTTTCGAAGAAATTTATGCCCGGAATTTAGCTGTTGGATAGTTTTAATGGCTTAGCATAGTAAAAAACATGTGTATTTTTTGATTAAATTAAAACATTGAAAAATCTCTTTCCGGTATAAAGTACGTGTAAATGAAAAATAAGTATCGAATGGGTTAAACTAAAACTTACTCTTTTAAAATAAAAATCCCAATGCTTTTGGAAAAATAAATTCAATTATTATCTATTTACAAACAGGGACACAATCATTCAAGTTTAGGGTTTATTAAAAAATGGTTCGGCATAAATGCTTTATTATTTTCTTTTCTCATGACATTCGAAATCCAGTATCTGAAAAACCAGAAAAAAATAAATTTTAACCTGATTTTTCAAAACTTTTGTCGGATGTCAAGATTTTTCGAAATTTTTCAAAACTTAATGTTTTCTTACTTTTTTAGCTCTCTCCATTTTCCACTAGAAACATTCTGTTAATCTCACAATCTAGATAAGTTTCCAAAGATCTTCAACAGGCTTGCTTCCACTCACTTGCTATAAAAAAATGATTTTCGGAATTTTGGAAATATTAAATGCTGTAATAATATTCATCCCTCACCATCCCTCTCCAAAGGGGGAGTTTGGTAAAGAGAGATTGTAGGTGAAAACGATACTTTGCAATTCATCTTTGATAAAAGCAGCCACTTAGGACTTCATCAAATTAACCATGTTCGTAACCAGCTCAATTCCTATTGAATACTCAGTGTTCACAGACTCGCATCGGTCACGCCCAAGCGTTGTTGATTTTGAATTAGTTTATGATTTTAAAAATGCAAATGTTCCTGAATTTCACAGCATACTGAATAACATAAGTTCCAATATTTAAATCTGGCAAACGGTCAGATATTAAAAACTATAGAGGTATTGCAATTATGTCATGCATTCCTAAAATGTTTGAAGCAATTGTTAACCAGAAAATATTTAACCAGGTTAAGCATCGCATTTCAAATAATCAACATGGTTTTTTAAAGGTCGGTCAACGTCTACTAATCTGTTGGAATTTGTAAACTTTTCTATTGAAGCAATGGATAGAGGTAATACCGTTGAAACCTTATACACTGACTTTAGTAAGGCCTTTGACAGAGTAGACATTCCCTTACTTCTTTTTAAATTAAAACGTTTAGGTATCACAAGTACACTTTTAAAATGGATTGGATCATACTTGACAGAAAGAACACAGATGGTCCGCTTTAAAGGAAAAATATCTTCGCCAGTTAATGTTACCTCGGGAGTTCCACAGGGATCTCATTTAGGTCCTTTATAATTTATTTTATTTGTGGATGACGTTAAGTTTGTGTTAAATCGTTTAAATGTGCTCATATATGCTGACGATATGAAACTATACATGGAAATCTTTAACAATTCTGATTTGCTACATTTTCAAAATGAAATTGATGTTTTCTACAATTGGTGCGTTAAAAGTCTGCTGGACATTAATGTTAAAAGATGCAATATTATATCTTATTCCAGAAAACACACTACTCTAGATTTTACATGTACTCTAGGAAACCAGCTGGTTGTAAGGTGCGATAAAATTAGGGACTTAGGAGTAATTCTTGACTCGAAGTTGACATTTGTAGATCATGTGAATACCACAATTCACAAAGCAAATAATATGTTGGGATTCATAAAAATATTAAGTTATTATTTTAAAGACCCATATACCATCAAAACACTTTATATAGCTTACGTGAGATCAATTCTCGAATATTGCAGTGTGGTTTGGGCTCCATACCATGAAACTTATATAAACCGTATAGAATCAGTTCAAAAACAGTTTTTGTTATTTGCTCGGCTGGACCTCTTTTCCCCTTCTCTCTTATGAGCCCGGTGCATGTTGATAAACATTGAAACACTTAAGAAACGAAGAGAAATTTCCATGATTTCCTTTGTTAATGAGATTATCTCACAACGCGTAAATTCAGAAAAAATATTAGCAAGCTTAAATTTGTACGTACCATCACACATGTTAAGAACTCGAAATGTATTTTAACTGTCACCTCACAGAACGAATTATGGTAAAAATGGACCAATCAATAGAATGATGAGAGTTTATAATAATTATTGTGAGCGTATAGATCTAACGATGTCTAAAGATACAGTAAGGAAAACACTAACTGCTAGTATTTCATCTCGTTAAGTTTAAAACAATTTTTATTTCTTAGATATTTGTATAAGTAATTTACTTTTTTGTTTGTTTATTAATTTATTTGATAAGGCTCAACCGAATTAACTTTACAGAGCCGAGGATTCTTGGTCACTATACAATACATCTTAAAACTATAGTCAAAAGGTACAACACAATAAACACTTTATCTTCCGCTATCCAAAAAGCCTCCTCCATCAGAACTGGAGCCGCTTCCAATGGTTTCATTGTATGGCAAATTGTTGTACGCCAACGAGGGTCAGAGCGCGTCCATTGCAGCAATGGACGCAAAACGTGGTCAGCACTCACACACTAATCACGAAACGGTTGCTTTCCAAAGTCGACGACGCATCGACCGAAAGAACTGCTGATGAAGAACAATGAGGAGGACCACACAATGGTTGCTGCCGAGAAAACAGACGATCGCGTAGCACACATCGAGAGTAGCCTGCTTTTGTCGACAGCCGAGTGAACACTGAAGTAATTTACATTCATTGACAATTTCAAATAAAACGTATGAATTAAAATAGCATGTAAGGCTACAGAACTTTTGTAAAATGGTCTACACTGATTGACGGCAAATAAATAAAAATGAATACAAATAAATACAAATAAATAAAAATTACCACTCTAGTCTGTTATTTGAAATTAGCATCTTCAACTAAACCAAAGATGTGCCCCGTAACGTGGGTAGATCACCTTTTCGTGGTACGTTACGGGATGTAAGATCTACCACCGATTCCTAGTCCTGACTACTTCAAACTAGGGGAACAGGATTTTACAGTAATCAAAGGAACACATCTTAGTCCTTGTTACTTTTTATGCCTTGTTGATAGTGATAAGTCCTCGGGTTGCGTGGACCGAGGATGATCTTGAAACAAGGAAAAAATGAGTTAGTTAGTCTTCACCTATGTGATTCCTAATCTTCTATTCGTTGTTTCCTAGTTTGAAGTGGTTAAGACTAGGGTTCTGATGCATGGTCATTATCGGTGTCATGTCTTGTTTTTTTTGCTAAGGAATCCAATTTTGACTG